ATTAGATCCTTTGTTAAACGACCCCACAAGCTTTGTAGCTTTGAAAACTACATATCGTTTTAAAATAAAGGTTGATTGATTAATTGATTGATTGATTGATTGATTGATTGATTGATTGATTATTCTGACAAGAAATAATCATACGAAAAATAATACGAAAACTTAAGCTACTTCAAGTACGTTGTCGAAGTGAAAATAATTTTACTCTTCATTTGATGCTCCCAACCCAAGAACAGCAAGAAACGGACTAAAGCAAGTTTGTAGGATAACGGGAGTTGAGGATAAAGTGCTCCAGAAAAAAATGCTCGCACAGCTCAAGACTACGAACTAACACTAAATGGCACAAAAAGGTCACAATCCTCTGTGCGAAGAGGGGCATAATCCCCAACCCTCTCCGGGGTGGTAATTCCCGCTAGAGAAGTGCTTATCCTATCCGAGTTAGGGAGCTGAAAGATAGGTCACAATCCTCTTCGGCCAGTGGGGATTACACTCCCCCAATCCTCTCCAAGGTGTCAAGATCCTAATGAAAGATTTCCTTATCCTAAAAGACTCAGCTAGTTGCTATGGTAAGAATGTTATAAAGCTGCACTGGGGCTCTGTACCCCTGAATAAAAGAAAAAAGTGAGTCTATGGGGGCAAAGGGTGACCTGTATGGGAGCAATTCATCCCGAGCCCGTGGTTTATTGAAATTCGATAAATCTGTGACTAACTTTGACAGAACAAGATTATATAGGCTTCTAACGTTACCAGTTATAATTAGAAAATGTACGTGACATAATTATAGCGTTCAAGTGCACCTATTTTCCACACAGTTGACGACCCAATTACCTCTGAATGAGCAATAGTCAATCACCAGCTACACTACTTGGCGCATTTTTAAAGCTTGAGGACCGAGACCATTTGTCGAAGTGATCTCATCCACTCTAAGAAAAGCATAAAAGGCAAACAAGCGCATTGCTTGAAATTGACACATTTGATACTCTAAGCTTGAAAATCCGTTTGTAGGTGGAAAGGGAAGATGATTGCAGGCTGGATCTCGTAAGGGGTGGAGCAGCCCTGGCCCGCCATCTTATACTATAGTTAATGGCATCATCAAAAGTTCCATAGTGAGCCCTGGTATGCTCAGAATAAATACCAGCTTTAACCGAGGAGCCCCGCGGAAAGGACAAGTAATGTATCAAACGAAACTCACCAGGGGCCTTTTTAGTGACATTCGAAATGGACGCAGTGGAGGTAACTGAAATGGAACAGCTAGCTAACCTGTGGGCCTCAAACTCAACTATTTCAGGACGGTGCGAGGCAGAAATTAGTCTTGCAGATATCTCGGTTCGGCCTCACCCTGTAAATTTTCATATAGCTTCGAAATAGAGGAAAGATTATTAGTAGCGTTGGAAAATGTTAAGTCGATTCGATGAGCCACCTGCTTTGGAACGAAGTCATGTTCATTTATCGTGATCGTCATTGGAACAAACGCGGGGTCAAAGAGGCGAATAACATCAGATTTAACCCTAACAACACCAACAGAGATAATGGAATAAAAACTACAGAAGTATGGATGCCTACGATCAAGAAACAGAACAACAGGAGAGCCGTACGACAACGGAAAGAAAAGACGCGTTTTTAATTAATCGTTGTACACCATCGAATTTTCGAACTTACCTTAACAGCTGACAAATCAGAGAGCACAAACCTTGGTAGCAAGAATCGAAAATCGTTTCGGTTTCGGGAAAATGCATCTTCCTTGCAAATGGAGGTGGATGACTTCCACCTTTGGAACTCTTTCACCATGCAAGAATTTATTTGCCTTCAAAACCAGTATTAAGTCATCTATGAGCGGCCTCTGATAAGTAGTAAAAGTGACCCTTTTTGCAAAATGCAGGACCAGGTTTAAAAGCAAGGCGCTTTCCTCTTGCTACATTTCTTGCAAGCGAAGAACGTCGACAATGGTTCCGATGACTTTTCAGGTCGAAAATCAAGATCTCTTCCCAAAGTAATGTTCATGCCTTCATTGTGAACACGGTAGATCCACATGTAGCTATTTCCACGCTTTTGATGAAGTGATTTGCATAAAGGACCAAATAAATCAAATTTATCAAATTTATTTTCTGCTTAGAAGCCATTCGAGTTCCAAGTTTAGTTGGCGCGAGGTGCGTTGCGTGACGGTTTCCTTATTCTGCGATTAATTCTGCTAAATTCACAAGAGTTATTCGGGTCTGAGTTTTCGAGACACCTTAAGAGACCTTCGAATCTAGTCTTTAAAAAAAATGCTCCCTCACAGACTGATTATCCTTTAGCAGGTCTTAAACTCACGATGTCTGCCTCTATCATCCTAGACTGCCACGAGATCTTCTATTCGCTCTAAACTCCGCGAGGAAAAGAAGGCAAAAACTGAGCCAAAAAACACCAAGTATTCGAGCGGCGAACTACATAAAGCGTCCACTCACGACGCTCTTGAGGCGCGCGAATATCTATAGTGCTCACCCGCATAGGTTTTGCGAAAGAAAGGCTCCTCGCAATTTACTTTCATGGCAACATCATGCCGCATGCCAATGAGCAAGTGTCCTGCCTGACATAAATACAACAAAAGGACACTTAGAGTTTTATCGCAACCATTGCTCATAGTCAGCTAAGAAGATAAAGGAAACATAAAGGAAGCTAAAAATAACAATAATGACAATTAAGTATAACCACATATTTTTAAAATTCAACCTGCCCTTCGTGTTCCTTCTTCTTTTGAATAGTCTCACTGTAATGAAGATTCAGACAATATATTCAACACTTTCAAGAAACATTTCAAGTTTCCATGACACTGACACGTTTAGAAAACGGTTTGAATTTATTCATTATTTTTTTTTTTTCATTCTGAATCCTTAAAGGCTGCTTTTCAATAGCGCATAAGCCGCAGGAACATAAGCAACATAGCCAGACACAGGGACACCGTTACTTAAGAGAGCATTTTGACAAATGAAAAGTTTTGATGAAAAGGCGAGCGAGAATATACTTAATTTACTTGAGCAAAATTCCAAGAAAATACATATTCAACCTTTACAGACAACATTCTTTATTTTATCGTATTGTTGTTAAAGGAATGCTGTCGTGACTCCTGAGTATTATTTCGAACAGTTAAAACGCAAAAGATATATCTAACGTCGATAAAAACTAAAAAATAATGGTCTTGCGTCTTGTTTATAGTTAAAAATTTCGATACGATTGCACGGAAGCTGTAGACGGGTTGTTAAAGGTTGTGATGTGAAATTGAACACGCGCAAAAGACTGTAGTGTGCAAGAGACTTAAGTCCCTTGACGCGTGTGATAGACTGTTTCAAAACTATCAACGGTTTTGGTATAAATCTACAAATCCATGGTTTACAAATCCATGTTTTATAAATCTAATCCATGTTTTACCAATTCAATCCATATTTTACAATATATATGCCCCGATATTTATGGAAGTATTCTTTCGATTGCTGGTTGATCTTATAAGATCTCAAATGAACTGATTATCATTCAAATTTCACAGAATGACATCTCACAGGATTTGTGCCAATCGGAAGGCTAGAAATAAACTTTAATAACTAAATTCTAATCAAAGAGCATGTGCGTGCATTTATTTTTGTTAATTTGGCTTTGTGGGCGCAAATGTCACCGCTGGAGAACCATGAAGGGCTCTGCTATTTGTAGACCCGGTATGCCCCAAATTTGATAAAACTGGCCGGTCAGAATTGAAAAATATGTTGCAACAAATTTAACAAATATGGCAAATTTTTATCCCCGAAATTAATTCAAATTTGACTTCAGATTTCACGAGATTTCGACTTGATAATGCCTTAGCTAAACATAGAAACGCCGTCGTTTTTAACGGAAATTTCTGAATATGTTGTTAAGAAATATTTTATTGCAGTTTTCCTTAGTTTAGAAATTCAAATCAAGCCAAAATATCGTGGCGGGAAACCATGGTGTGTAAATTAGCTTGTTCAGTTCGAATGAACCAACGTTTATCGAGCCGAAAAATCGAAGAGTGTAAAGTAACCTTAAGTAGAGATGGACTGAACAGTTGTGCCTTGGTGCAAGGAAATAAAATTTCCTCAAAATTTAACGTTTATCGTAAACACTGCTTGGTAAATGACAGTTGTAGCTTTGGTCAATTTCAATAATTTTTCTTCATATAACTTTCTGCCTAGGTTTATATTAGACCTGTGATAAAACAACCTAACGGAAGCCACTAGCTAGAACTGAGCAAAACATTATCCATTAATTCATAGGAGGCAGTGTTAACAATGGACGTGAAGGGAAACATCCGGTCCAATAATTTCGAGAGTGTTTATATCAATAATTTCGAGATTGTTTATATCAATAATTTCGAGAGTGTTTGTACCAGTAATTTAGTGAGTGTTTATACTCACGTTCTCTCGTTGCAAATGATAGGCATAACAGACTTTTATGGAGAAATTCTGGTTGGTAGAAAGGAATAAATCAGTAGTCTACATCGATAATCATTTTCCACAGTTAAACCAACATCTGTTTGTCACATGATATTTTTAAAATTGATCATGTAAATAATTTTTCTCCATATAACTCTGTCTGTTTGCCAATTTCCATGTTTGTGTTAGCAGGTGACCCAAAAGAGAAAATTCCCAAGGGATAAACAATTAAAATGGCAAAGGGATTATATAACATAACTTCTGTTCTTGGCAGTTTTAGGTAGTTCCAACGATCTTTCATTTGTTCAAAATGTCACAAGAACTAAAATGGAAGCATCTATGGCGGTTTCTGTGATGGCAGGATTAAATTTTGGCGAGAAAAGGTCTTGGTGGTTGTTTGAGCAGTTGCACAGTTCCAATTGAGTTCAATTAAAAGTCAAAAATTATGTAAATGTTTGCGTTAAATTAAGCGTGAAATTGGAAGCAATCTTTACCTTATGGCAAGAAAATAGACAGTTTCATAAAAAGTCATTGGCTTGTTAAAATATATTCATTCATTTTTCACACGTTTCAGGAAATGAAAGGCACTATTTAAGGAAGAAGCACGAAAAAGCATAAAATCAATTGTTTTTAAGAGGCAACATATAGCTAAGTGAATCCTGTTCAAAAATATCAAAAGCGATAAGCCCACAAGTCCTTCCACTGACGGCAATGGCGATAACAAACGTTTCTGGAAATCGAACGCAGAAAACGTTACATCAACTAATATGCACTGCAGCTGTAACAGTTGGAGCACCGCATCCGTTAACCTACCTATCAGTGCTGAATATACTTCTGTCCATGACTGCATTTCTGGGAAATGTTCTAATCCTAGTTGCTCTCCACAAGGTGTCTTCGCTTCATCCGCCATCAAAACTTTTGTTACGTTGTCTGGCAATAACTGATCTCTTTGTTGGTCTTATTGCACAACCCATCTATGCTGGCTATGAGATAAGTCTATTGTATGAACGATGGAATATGTGTCGCTCTACATTCGCCTCTAGTCTCATTGCAGGATACGTTTTGTGTGGAGTGTCTTTGCCGACCTTGTCTGCAATAAGCGTGGACAGACTTCTCGCCCTGTTGCTGGGTCTGAGATACAGACAAGTTGTAACAATGAGGCGAATGTTTCTATTTGTCATGAGCTTTTGGGTCATGTCCAGTTTCGCTGCAGTGATGTACTTTTTTAACTATCTAGTAACATTATCTTATTGCTATTTAATAGTATCACTTTGTGTAACAGTATCGATCATATCTTACACAAAGATTTTCCTTACCCTCCATCGCCATCAGGTTCAAGTACAAGATTCTGTTCACCAGCAACAACCAAGCCAAATAATTCCATTGAATATAACGCGATACAGAAAGGCAGTATCCAGTGCGTTGTGGTTGCAGTTGACATTGATCATTTGCTATCTCCCACATGGTATGGTGGAGTTTGTACTCGCTCATAGCGGACTGTCTCCAGCTGCCGTCCTTGCTAGGCAGTTTACTGCCACCTTAGTTTTCTCCAATTCATCATTAAATCCGTTACTTTACTGTTGGAAGATTAAGGAGGTAAGACGTGCAGTGAAGGACACAATCAGACAAGTACGTTGTTGTTCAACGTGTTAGTACTCGTCGACTTGTGCTGAGAAAATAGTTAACAATTCCGAGTGGGTTAGAACTCAGAAAAGAAATGTAAAAAGCGAATAATATCTATATATTTTAGTTTATCTGATTTGCTAAGACGATTGC